AAAAAAAAAATTAAACTAGATCACCAACTTACACCATCCATAAAAATAAACTCAAAAGGGATAGAGGACTTAAACATAAGATGGAAAGCCATAAAAATACTAGAGGAGCCAAAACCAGTTTGGCTCAGTGGATAGTGTCGGCCTGCGGGCATGTACCTTGGTTTCGGGCACATCCCAGTGGAGGTGTGCAGGGGCGGCTGATCGATGTTTCTCTCTCATAGATGTTTCTCACTCTCTATCCCTCTCCCTTCCTCTGTAAAAAATCAATAAAATATATTTAAAAAAAAATACTGGAGGAATCCACAGGCAGCAAAATCTCAGACATATGTGGAAAGAACTTTTTCACTGATATTTCCCCTAGGGCAATGGAAGTTAAAGAGAAAATAAACAAATGGGACTATATTAAAACAAAAAGCTTTTTTACAGCAAAGAAACCATCAACAAAACAATAAGAAAGCCCACTGTATGGGAGAACATATTTGCAAATGTTATAACTGATAAAGGTTTAATCTACAATATCTACAGGCAGCTTATACAACTTAATAAAAAAAGATAAATGATCCAATTAAAAAATGAGCAATGGATCTAAATAGAATCTTCTCAAAAGAAGACAGAAGGAAGGCCAAAAGACACATGAAAACATGCTCAAAATCACTAATTATCTGAATGCAAATCAAAATGACAATGTAATATCATCTCACACCTGTCAGAATGGCTATCATCAACAAATCAACAAACAGCAAGTGTTGGCAAGGATGCAGAGAAAAAGGAACCCTCCTGTACTGCTGGTGGGAATGCAGACTGGTGCAACCACTGTGGAGAACAGTATGGAGTTTCCTCAAAAAACTGAAAATGGAACTCCCATTTGACCCATTAATCCCACTTCTAGGAATATATCCTAAGAAACTAGAAACACCAATCAAAAAAGATATATGTACTCCTATGTTCAAAGCAGCACAATTTACAATAATTAGGATTTGGAATCAGCCTAGGTGCTGGTCAGCAAATGACTGGATCCAAAAACCATGGTACATCTACATAATGGAATACTATGCTGCCATAAAAAAGAAGGAAATTCTTATCTTTGCAGCAACCTGGATGGAACTGGAGAACATTATGCTGAGTGAAATAAGCCAGTCAATGAAAGAAAAACACCACATGATCTCACTCATTTATTGATAATAAAGAACATTATAAACTGATGAACAAAAAGATATAGAAATAGTAAAGCAACAAACTGTCAAATTACAGCAGGGAGGGGAGGGAGATGGGGGAGATAAAAGATTAAGTGAAGGACTTGTATGCATGCATATAAGCATAACCAATGGATGCAAAACTCTGGGGAGGGAGGGCGCGTGTGTGTGTGTGTGTGTGTGTGTGTGTGTGTGTGTGTGTGTGTGTTTGTGTGTGTGTGTGGGCAATGGTAAGATATGTACACATATAATACCTTAAAAAAAGGGGGGTGGTGGAATGAACTTGGGTTGTCCAGAAAAGAGCTGGACAGCACTGGCACACTCAGACTTTCTTGTCACGATGCTCTTGTCACTACTGCTGATGTCCGTGAGATGAGCTAAGTGCTTGGTACATTCACAGTGCCTCACCTGCCCTTCACCTTTGACTGAGACTTTCAATGTCTGGGAGCAAACCTTCAAGGGAGCAAAGAAGGGCCATCCATGGGCTATTGTGTTAGATGAATAAGATAGCTCTGTTTTCTTCTATTTCCAAGACACTTCTTCAGTAGCTCTTTGGCCTGAGAATTAGTGCAGTTTATCAGGATAAAGAAGAGGATGAGCATGTCATTTTAGGCACTGAGTGCACAGGTGAAGTGTGTACATGTGTCCCCCCACAATGCAAAGGAGAAAAACTATTTCAGAACATGAATAAAAATAATATGGAAATCTAAAGAAAGAGATTCTTCAGTTTTGAATACACAAATCCACATTCTTTATATATATATAAAAAATCTGGCCACTTAGTGTGTGTGTTTGTGTGTGTGTGTGTGTGTGTGTGTGTATATAAATAAATATATATATATATATATACATATATATATATATATATATAAATAAATAAATCTGGCCACTTAGTGTATATTATAGATTATATTATATATAATCGATTATATATATAATCGATTATATATAATATAATCTATAATATACACTAATAGATTATATAATTATATATAAGCTATTATATATGTGATATAATCTATTATATAAATATATAATTATATATAATATAATATATATTATATTATATTATATTATATTATATTATATTATATTATATTATATATATAATCTATTATATACACTAAGTGGTCAGATTATTATGATCTTATAATACACTAAGTGGCCAGGTTATTATGATCTCTGAATATATAATAATCTGGCCACTCAGTGTGTGTATGTGTGTGTGTGTGTGTGTATATATATATATATATATATATATATATATATATATATATATAGAGAGAGAGAGAGAGAGAGAGAGAGAGAGAGGCCCAGTGCACAAAATTCATGCACAGGGTGGGAGTGTCCCTCAGCCCACCCTGCACCCTCTCCAAACTGGGACCCCTCAAGGGATGTCTGACTGCCTGTTTAGGCCCGATCCTGGACAGTTGGACATTTCTCTTGCAATCCAGGACTGCTGGTTCCCAATGCTTGCCTGCCTGCCTTCCTGATTGCCCCTAACCACTTCTGCCTGCCAGCCTGATCACCCCCTAACCACTCCCTGCCAGCCTGATTGATGCCTAACTGCCCTCCCCTGCCAGCCTGGTCCCCCCCAACTGTCATCTCATGCAGGCCTGGTTCCCCCCAAATTTCCCTCCTCTGCAGGCCTGATTTCCCTCAATTGCCCTCCTTGCAGGCCTGGTCCCTCCCAACTGACCTACCTTACTGGCCATCTTGTGGCAGCCATCTTGTGTCCACATGGGGGCAGCTATCTTGTGTGTTGGAATGATGCTCAATCTGTATATTACTCTTTTATTAGATAGGATAGAGGTCTGGTACATGGGTAGGGACCAACTGGTTTGCCCTGAAGGGTGTCCCAGATCAGGGTAGGGGTTCCTTTGGGGCATGGGGCAGCCTGGGTGAGGAGCCTGTGGTGGTTTGGAGGTCAGCCATGCTCCCCAGTGATCCAAGCATAGGCCAGGGCCAGCTGGAAGCAGGTATCTGGAATTTATTTATCTTCTATAATTGAAACTTATAGCCTTGAGCAGAGTTCCAGGGCAGGCCAGGGTGGCAGGAAATTTGCCTTCTTCCATGCCTGAGGGTAACTCAAGCCTCCTGCTTACTCCAGCTCCATGGCAGCTGCCATCTTTGTTAGATTAATTTTCATACTTGCTCTGATTGGCTGGTGCGTGTAGCAGAGTTATGGTCAATTTGCTTGTTTCTCTTTTATTAATATATATATTCAATATATGATGCCTGGTGCATGAATTCGTGCATGGGTAGGGTCCAGCCAGCCTGGCCAGGGGGAGGGGACATGGGCGGTTGGCCAACCTTCCTCCTCTTCAAATTCCTGGTGGAGGGGACAATTTGCATATTAGCCTTTTATTATATAGGATATAAAATAATCTGGCCAATCAGTGTATATCCTCTATAATAAAAGGCTACTATGCAAATTGTCTCCTCGACCAGGAGTTTGACCAGGCTGGCTGGACTCCACCCATGCACGAATTCATGCACCAGGCCTAATATATATATATTAGTAATATATATATATATATATATATATATATATATATATATATATATATATATACACACACATACATACATACATACATACATATATCCTGAGTGGCCAGATTATTATGTGTTCAGAGATCATAATAATCTGGCCACTCAGTGTGTGTGTCTATATTATATGGAGAGGCCAGGTGCACATATTGCCATTCATTCAAGAAGCACTTAAGGAATACTTACTGCCCCACCATGCAAGCCTGATACCAACTGCAGAAGTTGCAAAGTGTACACTTATGGAGACAGCGAGGACAAGAAGAGTTGGGACAAAAAGAACTGCGTCTCAAATTGCTATGAGGTCCAGGGAAGAAGTGCCTACCTCTGCCTTACAAAATCAGGCAGGCTTCACAGAGGAGGTGATGTCTGAGCTAGATGGTGAAGTGCAAGCAGGCAAGTGCCTGCAAGATACCAGAGAGAACAGTAAGGGTGGTAGATTTTTATTTTAGTGTGAACCATGAAGACTGGAGTGGTGATGAGGGAGGCAAGATAAGCAGAGTCCTGCCATCACGTCTGGTACAGAACAGAGGAGACTTGCTGAATGGCCTCCTGGATGTAAGCAGACTGTGTGAGCAGCATGAGGGTGAGCTGGCTAATGGCACATGCTTTTGTCCTCATCTGTTATGTCCACAAAGCAATGTCTGACCATCTCCAGAGAGGGCTGCATCTCACCCTCCTGGGCGGTCTGGGCCAGGCTATCTTTAAAGACATGAAATGGAAGAGAATATACACATGCTACCCTCAATGTAAAACCACATGACAACCATTTTTATCCTTTTTATAACTTTCCCTTGTCTCCACCTGGCTCTGAGTGTATCCGGTCCCTGCAACAGGCATCACACCATAACCTAAATGGCAGGCTATTTCAATAAAAATACATTTTGATCTTGGGTTCCTGTGTCAATTAACTTTCATACTGCTTACCTCTATTGTGTCATGGACAGGTCCTCGCCAAAATGGTTTTGGCCTCGATGTGTAATTAGCTTTCTGTCTCCCTTTGCCAATTCTAACCTATATTTTTTTCACTGTAATAAATTGTAACTATGAGCACAGCAGCTTTTCTGTCTCATAAGTCCAACCTGAAGGTGATTTTGGGGACCCCCCTTCCCCCACCCCCCCGACACACACACACAACCTCACACTAGTGAGTCATCGCAGGGTTAGGCTTATGTCCCTGCCCCTATCCTCCTTACCCCCCCTCCCTCCCCCCCAGCCACTCCACCCTCCACACACACCTGTCTCCTGGGTGCTCACCTTTCCCACAGGTCATTGAGCATTCCGTGGTCCCCAGCTGCTTCCAGTTGTGATCTCGGCTTCGTCTTGGGGGCTGTGGTGCTGGTAGAACCAAATTGCCTGGCCAGTGGGAAGAAAATCTATCTGGACGCCTGGCTGAGAAGGTCTGTGCAGATTCTGAGGTGAATATTTTTGGTGCTCCACCATGCAAGTCTTCCTTCTTCTCAGTCCGTTCCTTCTCTTCTGCCTCTTGACTCCTCCTCTTTGGGAGCAGTTGGCCCTGGAAGGGCTTCCCTGAGAGAGGCCAGGGTTCACGCAGAAGGAAGTTCAGTTTGGAGGGTGAGTCATAAAGAGAAAACTGCTTCAACATTTTAAATCAGGTAGCATGAGATCATTTCTAATTCATAGCACATATATTTAAAATAAGCAGACACAAATTTCTTTAACATTTAAAACATTTTAAAAAACAAATAAGAAAAAAGATGAACATTCAAGTAGGAAAGGTAAGCAAGGGCCAGGGAGAGACAATTTACCCAAAAAGAAATACAAGCTGACAAAAGTCAGATAAAAGTGCCCAACTTCACTTATAATTAAAGAACTACATGTGAAAACAAGAACAACAAAAAATCTATTTGCCTAATAATAAAGATTAGAGACCTTGGAAACCCTTAATCACTACACTCCTTGCTGAAGGTTTCTGAAAACACATTCTCATACACTGTAAAAGAGTCTGCAAATAAGATGCAAATTTTGGACAACAATTTGGCAACATTTATCCAAGCACATATTAGTTTGTTACAAAATAAGGAGGCAAATTCGACAGTTACTGTTAAATCAAGTTAAAACATAGGGCTTTCTTTGCCTCTTCACCAATACATTCTTATCTAATTGGCTACTTACAATTTTGTGGTTTAAAATACAACATGCAAATTAAAAATAACAGAGACAAAATCAGGCATGTTGATATAAATGAGACTGTCCAAGATGTTATCAGCAAAAAAACACCTTTGAGTACTTTGTATGTACTGGGCACTAGGATTGATGCCTAGTGTATTAAGTTCCCTACTTCCTGCCCCCTCAAAACCAAACCTTTGAGTGTAGTTTTTGAGTACAGAAATGTGTTCAGAGAAGTTACTGACTTGCCTGAGGTTGCCCAGCAAGAAAGTGGCAGAGTTGGATTCAGGCTCTGCCCTTCTAACTCAGTTGATATGGAGGATGAAGCCTGGTCCAGAATGCCCTTCCTCACCAACTTTTTACAAGTGACCCCTTCTGGTCCTGCCCTGCCCTAGGCAATGGACCCCAGAACTCCATGCTACCTGTTAGGTGAAACCCATTAGACTTGTTATCAAACATCAATATCCTATATGATTTCAAGTAGTCTGTCCAATTGCCCTTATAAATCAGCATTGGTTCGCCCCCTGGACTTGATTCTCAGACTGTGTATTGCTCCTGGAAATGGTTTAAAAAATCTGTCGGATTGAGTACGCTAACTTGGAGTTTGAACAACACATGTACCCTATGTGTCTGACACACTCCAGGCTGTTGTCTCCCAGTGGCCAGTGACAATCAGGTAATTTTATTATCTGATTGGCAGCCCAGAGAAGAATGGATGTGCCAGGTCTCACACCTGTCCCCTCACTCTGTAGGACAGGCGTTGGACCAGATTGCCTCTAGGCAGTATATAACAAGCACAGGGTTAGTCACTATGGGATCTGCATAAGAACCTAATCTCCATAAGCTTTTAGTTCCTGATTGTTAAAACGAGGCTGATGACAGTACTTTCCTCTAAGCACTTTGGTGAAAATTGGGTGAGTTAATTTATGTGATGGGATCAGCAGTGTCCAGCACACAGCAAGGTCCCAGTGAATATGAGCAACTGTCATCATTAATATTTCTGCAGACCTTCCTGTTTGAAAGATGGAAAAGACAGTCTCCATTCAGGTGGTGGGCTCCATTAGCACTCAGCAAAGAAACATCTGCAGAGCCCAAGTGTGTGCCATTCCTAAACAAAAGCTGCCTGCCCTGTCTATCAGCAGAGCCCCAGGAAAGAGGCAGGTTGTTAAGTGTGAATTCATTATTCTTTTCTGATAGATCAATGTAGTGTTAACAGAAGTAAAAGGGGGCTAATAGAAAAGGCACTGGCAAAAAGACCTCAGAAGATGTCTGTGTCCTAATCACCTTATATGGCAAAAGGGACTTTGCAGCCATGATTGAGATTTTGAGGTGGAGAGATTATCCTGGGTTATCTGGGTGGCCCCAATAAAAGTCCTTATAAGAAAGAGGCAGGAGAGTGAGTGTCAGGAAAAGAGATGTGATGACGGAAGCAGAGGGTGAGAGCCAGAAAGAGATGTGAAGGGCTGCTCAGCTGGCCTAGATGATTGAGGAAGGGGCTGTGAACCAAGGAAAGCAAGTGGCCTCTGGAAAAATGGCAAGGAAACACTCTCTCCTACAGCCTCTGTGGGGACATGGCAACCATACGTTGATTTTGGCTCAGCAAACCCATGTTGGCCTTCTGACTGTTAGAACAGTAAAGGAATAAGTCTGTGTTGTTTTGAGCCACTAAGCTTGAAGCAATTTATTATGGCAACAATAAAAAACCAGTATAAGGCATTTCAAAGTGAGGACCTGGAGAGAAAGACCCAGGGTATTCACTTCTTTTTGAATCAGCAAAGGCTCAGATGAGTGGTGACATCAGGGCCACTGACTCTGAAGTATGTGTCCCTGGGTTTTCCCTGTGCTGATTTAGAGAGAAAGGGTAACTGCACAGAAGAAGAGGGAAGGGGCTTTAAAAGAAAACGCTCCAACTTTCAGCCTTAGCCTGCACTCCCCTTGTCTTGGCATGCTGAGTAACCCTCTCCATTGAGCCCTCTTGTATCCTGCCTGGCTCCTGTCTTGTCTCCGAGCTATCAGTTGGCTAATACTCCCATGGTTCACATGAGACAGATGAGGAATTTGAAGCTCACTGGATGACATACTTCAACAAGCCAGGTATTGATGTCTGGGAATTGCATAAATGGATGAACATACTTGTTGGCTATGATCTGGCTCCAGAACCCCAAATATCAATAATTGATTCTGCTTTGCAGGCATGCAGATGGTTAAATGACTTTGCTAGTGTGGTTAGCATCCTAGAGGTTGTTAAGGACAAAGCAGGACTGCATAAGAAAACCTACCCTTATGTCATCCAGGAACTTAGACCAAATTTAAATGCACTGGGAATCTTCACTCCAGAGGAACTGAACTTTGACAAAGTATAAATCCTAGCAATAGGCTCTCCAAGGATTTACTGATAATACTAGAGTGTAAAAATCACCTGGAAATACTGATGATAACATATTATCTATTTGGACAAGTTTTCCATTACTAAGAACCAAATCATGTAATGGTAACTTGAACTTTAATAAAAAGGAAATGAATTTGAACTAAAATTAAAAATAAATAAATAAAGAGAAATGATCTGAGTGCTTGGCAGCAAAACAAGGGATTTTACCTGATCTCCTGTGAGGTGGCACTTGTGGGCTGATGGCATTAGTCCCCATGATAACGTACTCGTAGTGGACTCCTGGGTTAGGCTGCTGGTGTATCATCTGACAACACAAAAGTCAGTGTCACTGGGCTGGCACGCACATCCATTGGGTTCAGTGGAATAAGTGACAGGATCTATAAGTGAAGGGCTCGATTCACATCTAATAATATCAGTGAACCTGTGACAGATTAAACAAAGCTATTTCCAGATGGCTTTTTGTTATTTGCTTTAGAAGAATGAAAAACTCAAAAGAAAACTGAAAGTGAATATTTTATAAGTTCCAAATAGGAAGAGGGGAGCAATGTGATTTTGCTTAGTGCTCTCAGAGTGTCCAAGCAGGTACATATTGACACTTCAGAGAACCTGTTTGAATATTATTAGGTGGCAAGAGAGCCAAGCAAAGGGCCTATCTCTGGCAGAGCCAGCTGGATACAAGTTTAGGTTCTCTTATCATTTTCTACCTGGCCAGTGAGGCTGGCTCAGGAAAGACCTGCCCACAGCCTCTTCTCTTCTTTGACTCTTGGGTTTCTCCCCTTCTCATCCATAGAAAGCTCTAGACCACAAAGAAATGGGGTCAGGAAAACAGGTATAAGGGAAGTAACTGTCCCTAGGTCCTATTCTCTTAGGAACCGATGACAAAAGTAGAACAGCAAACTGCATAGGGCTGTGCAGGTCAGGAATGAGACTTTTCTGGGGCAAAAGAAAAAAATAAATCAGCATGGTCCAGCAAAATAAACCCCTCTCTATTGGTCCTGGAGCACAAATGCCCATGGCTTTACTGGTGGGCAGCAGGGCGATGGGCTCAGCTCACCAGCAGAAGAAGAATTTCCTGAGTAAATTGAGTCAGACAAGGAGACACTCCTACCTCCTGGTATTTCTGTCTCTACTGCTTTATACAGGGGCTCTCTTGTTGACCAGCTGTGTAACCTAGATCAAGTCCCTTAATCTCAGTTTTATTTTTCTTCATCTGGAGAAGAAGTTGGAATCACAGATGATCTCTTAAGTCTTTTATGCTTCAAGCAGTTTGTTTCCTGAATATGTCTATTATGTCCATTTATGCCTTTATCTCTTATGTCTTCCCTGCATGTGCAATGAGGCCTCCATTTTATACATCACCCAGTGGATTTCGTACACTCAGAAACCATGGTGGTGCACACAGAGTCCTGAGAGACAGTGTTATGACCTCAGGTTCCTGTGGTCTACCCTTCATCCCCTCATTTACTTCTCCTTTCACACAATTCGACAATTGGTTTGTGGCTGGAAACTCTTTCTCTTCCATGCCTCTTGAGCTTTGTGAGCGTTCTGCCAATATAAACCTTGTCCCATTTAGAAAATTATTGTTGGCTACTACGTCCTAGACCACCCACAGTGGTCCTTTAACAATATGGCTTTTTATCCCTGATGCCATTCTAAACCTACCCAGAGTCCAACAACCTATCGGACAGTGTAAAAGAATATCTACCACAAGGCTTTCTTTATAGTTTCCAGTCCATGAGCTACTAGGCCCGAGAGGAACAAACATGTAAATTTATATTTGGAGAAGTAATATATATAAAACCTTAATGCATACATGTACTGGTTTGGGAGGTTGTAAGAGAATGCATATCTATAAGCAAGCTCAGTCTTTCTATCATAAAACCCAATTTCAAGCTTTTATTTCTGTCACCTTTTATTTCCTAATGTTTTAAAGAAGACTAGATTCTAGTGTTTCTTTCAAAAACAAGGACCGTTTTTAACTTGTGTCTTCATAATTGATTTTCTTGTTAAGTAAGTTGAAGTTCTCTGTGAATCAGGGAATGCCTAGTAAACTCTGTATTGCTACTTTGCACTTTATTGGGTCATCTGGAGCACTCTGGAGTTCTCCTGTCTTCATCTGCTTTAACAGAATTTGAAGAGGGCTGGGAACTGTGAGCGGTCTTGTCTTGATTTAGGCATTTGCTTTCCTTTACCATAAAAAGAAAACATGCCAAATTAGCATTAGGAGGCAAGGGCCTGGAGGAGAGCCAATGCTCATGAAATAAAGGATATGTTTTGCCTCTGATTTGGTTCAACAAGTAAAATTGGTTTTACTGGGTCAATAAACTCAGAGGGTTCTAAGCATCTGGTAGAGTTTAAGGTTTCTGTGAGCTGGGCACATTCAGGGTGAATGGTGAAGATGAAGGCTGAGATGTAAGGGCACCTCCAGGGACTTCGCTCAGATGGTCATACTGAGCATGGGCAATGATTTGTTGCTTATTTGTTCTAAGTGTGGTCCTTAGAAGCAACAAGATAAACTATCCCAAGAACAGAAACATACAAACTCACATAAACATCCAAGGTCTCGTTAGTGGGACCTTCAGCCAGAAAGGACTCTCCAGCAGTGCTCGAAATCTCATTTGGACGCTTGTAGGTGAACATCGTCCCTCCACCCTCATATTTTCCCGGCCTGTCAATTGCCCAGTTCCCATTGATGATGGAGCGGCCAGAACGACTTCGCAAAGCTGTCAAGAGAAATGACACAGTTTCTCAGGTTAGCCCAAGGAATTGAACTGACTTATTGCTTCATTAAGTTTTTCATCAGGATCCACTATGTGCCAGGTACTGATCTAGGCATTGGAGCAGAATGAGGCATCTAGATCACATCCCTTTGGGCTTCATCACCTTTTCAACTTCGATTGATTCCACCATAGAAATAAAGGGCAAGAGTGGTTAGGTTAGGGGAAATTATTATATCCCATTATTGAGGTGAGAGGTTGCACATTGGCAGTTCAGTAGTGGATTTTAGCCTGCAGATGGGCTTAATTTGGCCTTCGTGTTATTATTTTTTAAATATAATTTAACATAAATTTAATAATTGGAAAATTTCACATGAAAAATTTAGAGTATTACCTTGTTTTGTAAAATAAGAAGACATGTTAACATTGGCTCCATTCCCTTGAGGCAGCAATCAGTTAGAGCTATGGAGGACTGCCCCTTTTTGATGGAGCCTGTATGCTTTTGTTAGCCCTAATCCCCACCACTAAGGTGAAGTCTCAGTTTATTTCCCATTTATTAATGAACTAGAGGCCTGGTGCACAAAATTCATGCATGGGGTGTGTGTGTCCCTCAGTACCCTTTCCAGTCTGGGACCCTTCAAGGGGTGTCCGACTGCCCGTTTAGGCCCCATCCCGGGCAATCTGACATTCCTCTTGCAATCCAGGACTGCTGGATCCCAACTGCTCACCTGCCTGCCTTCCTGATTGCCTTTAACCACTTCTGCCTGCCAGTCTTATCACCCCCTAACCACACCCCTGCCAGCTTGATTGATGTCTAACTGCTCCCCTGCCAGCCCGATTGCCCCTAACTGCCTTCCCCTGCCAGCCTGGTCACCCCTAACTGCCCTCCCCTGCAGGCCTGGGTCCCCCCAACTTCCCTTCCTTGCAGGCCTGGTCCCTCCCAACAGCCCTCCCCTGCTGGCCATCTTGTGGCAGGCATCTTGTGTCCACATGGGGACAGCCATCTTGTGTGTTGGAGTGATGGTCAATTTTCATATTATTCTTTTATTAGATAGGATAGAGGCCTGGTGCATGGGTGGGGCCCGGCTGGTTTGCCCTAAAGGGTGTCCCAGATCAGGGTGAGAGTTCCCTTGGGTGTGGGCTAGCCTGAGTGAGGAGCCTGTGGTGGTTTGCAGGCTGGCCATGCTCCCCAGCAACCCAAGCATAGGCTGGAAGCAGGTATCTGGGATTTATCTATTTTCTATAATTGAAACTTTGTAGCCTTGAGTGAAGACCAGGGGAAATCCAAGACTCCTGCTTGCTCCAGCTCCATAGCTCAGCCATCATTGTTGGGATTTATTTATCTTCTATAATTGAAACTTTGTAGCCACCTCTTACTAGACATCTCAGCAACATTTGGCACTATTGACCACTCCATCCTATTTGAAACACTCTTTCACTGGTTTCTGGGACACCACACTTGGCTTGCTTTCCACCTGCTCTCAGACTTCTATTATTCCTTTCTATATCATCTTTCTCTACTGGGCTATTAAATATTAGCATTCTTCAGGGATTCCTGGGCCATTGTACTCATGTCCATGGCTTTAATTACTATGTCCAGTGACTTTCAAATTTATGTTTCCAATCCAGACTTTTCCCTTGCTCCCAGATTTTTGTATCTAATTGCCTACTTGACAGCTTCACTCAGATGTGTTGTCTAATACTGAATTCATCCCTAAATCTACCAGTGTTTCTTGTTTCAGTATATGGTACACCATCTAATTAGAAACACACGAATCCTTAGACATGTGGATCCTGGACACTTCCTCCCTTCTTTATCACCTCTATCCATCCACCATCAAAATTTATTTGTCCTCCTCCATATTTCTTGAACCAATCTGCTTCTCTCCTTGCCCATCACCATAATCAAGTGCCAAGCTACTATCAGGGCTTATCTGCACTAACTCAAAAACCTTCACCTTAGTCTTTCTGTTTCCCTTCTTTTTAGAATTCAGATTTGGTCACTAACTACAGCTCAAAATCCTTCAATGGTTTTCTCTTTCTCTAGGGAAAACCTCCAATCATTAATGAAGCCAGGGCCATAGGTGATGTGGTCCAACCTCATCTTGTATCACTGTCATCTCTGTGCTCTGCTCACTGGCCTTTTAGCTCATCTAACACATCATGTTCCCTCCAAAATGCTGTGCTTTCTTCCAGACATACTTCCTTGAGCCTCCAGTCCCATTTGTTCTTTTTATCCCCTTTACTTTTTAAAAAATTGAACTTGCTGGGGTGACATTGGTTAATAAAATTATATAAGTTTTAGGTATAAAATTCTATAATACATCACCTATAATATTGTATTGTGTTTTCACCACTCCAAGTCAAGTCTTATTCCATCACCATTTATCCCCCTTTTATCCATTCTTACCTTCCCTCACTCCCTTCACTCTGGTAATCACAATACTATTGTCTGGGTCTATGAGTTTTTTTTTGGTGTTTTGTTGTTATTGTTGTTGTTTAAACCCTTCACATTTTTCACCCATCCCTCAACCCTCCTTTCCTCTGTATCTATGAGTCTATTTCTATTTTGTTTGTTTATTTTGTTCATTAGATTCCACATATAAGTGAAATTGTATGATGTTTATTTTTCTTCTATTTGTTCTCCGGTTGTCAGCTCCTCAGCAGTCTTCTTTCACCCCAAGTCCAAGCCTGTCTCTTCTCTCACTTGCTCTAATAATGTCTGTCTCCCAGTACACCCTAAGCTCCAAAAGGGCAAAGGAAGTGGTGCTTCCTCACTGTTAGAGCTCTAGTCCAAGCACAGTGCTCACCAGGTAGTAGGAACTTGCTATTTGCTGAACACAAAAGTAGAAAAAGGCAACATCAAAAGAAAGATAGGCAAGAAATGATAAATAGGCAATTCACAGAAAACCAAGTACAAATATTCCATAAGTAAATGAGGTGCACTCAGCGCGTAGCTCCACCAATGAGCTTCCCTCCGCCCGTATTCCATAAGTAAATGAAAAGATGCTCTACTTTGCTTATAATTTAAGGAATGTAAGTCAAAACCACAATGGTATATTCTTTTTTAAAAAAAATATATTTTATTGATTTTACATAGAGAGGAATTGAGAGGGATAGAGAGTTAGAAACGTCAATGAGAGAGAAACATCAACCAGCTGCCTCTTGCACACCGCCCACTGGGGATGTGCCCGCAACCAAGGTACGGCCCTTGACCGGAATCAAACCCGGGACCTTTCAGTCTGCAGGCCGACGCTCTATCCACTGAGCCAAACCGGTTTCGGCCACAATGGTATATTCTTGATCCACTAGATTGGCAAATGTTTTAAAAGATTCAATGATGCCAGAATTGACAGGTATATGAAGCAAGCACCCATAACATTGTTGGTGGAAATATAAACTGATTCAATCATATTGGAGGGCAGTAGTTATATTGTTAAAACCTTATGTGCCTATACATAAAGTACCCAGGAATTGTACTTCTAGGAAACTACTTGGTAATACCTTTCTGTAAATATATGAAAGTGTTTATAACAATATATTCTCTGAAGATTTTTTTAAATGTAGAAAAACTAAAAACAACATGTATATTCATTAGTAGAGGATTGCTTAATGGATGTCCATGCAGTGGGCCCTAAAAACAATGAGATGGGTCTGTGTGTGTGGGTATGGCAAGAACTCAACAATAATTTTTTTAAAAATATATATTTTATTGATTTTCTTACAGAGAGGAAGGGAGAGAGATAGAGAGCTAGAAACATCGATGAGAGAGAAACATTGACCAGCTGCCTCTTGCACACCCCCTACTGGGGATGTGCCCGCAACCAATGTACATGCCCTTGGCCGAAATCGAACCTGGGACCTTTCAGTCCGCAGACCGACGCTCTACCGCTGAGCCAAACCAGTTTCGGCAATGATAATTTTTGAAGGAAACAAAAATGCAAAGCAGTGTGTTTGGTATAATCTCATTTGTGTATACTTTATATAAAAGCATATACATGCAGGCACATGCATAATACTTTTTAGAAAAAGTCATAAAACTGTTAATATTTGAGGACAGAAACTGGGGTTTAGTTTGGGATGTGAGATGAGAAGGGAACCATTATTTCTCATTTTCTATCTTGTTACTACTATTTTAAATTTGCTTTATCATATGCTTATATTACTTTTTTAAAGGCTTACGATTTTATAATTAATATAAAAAGCACCGTACAAGCAGACATACCCTGAGGGATATATGTATTTTCAATTTTTTACAGCTTCTCCTTAAAATCCCATTCAGAGTATCAAAAGCTCAAAACTGAGGTAAGTTTTGACTAAGATTTTATTGCTGTTAATGAAAATATTGTAGAATAGGTTATTATCTCGAAACATAAAGTTCCAGTAAAGAACCATTTGAAATACTTCATATGAAAGAGCTGCAAGGGCCTCCCAGCAAATAAAACACGTGACCCTGAATTCTTTTATCATCTACTACTGTTACTCACACATCCATTCTAAAGTTTTAGATGAGTCCTTACCCATATAACAGCAAAGCATATAAAAGCCATACCAGATTTTTAACAAACACAGTCCTGATTCCATATGCTCGTGGTTTAGCTTCTGAAACAGCTCTCAAAGAACTGAAACCTGGTCAGATATATTGAAAACAGCTGTACCTACAGTTTATGTGCCCCTAAGCATTCACAGAGCTATAAATGGTGTCCAACCCTACCCTACAAAAAGGTGCAGGTGACTTATGACTCTTGCTAGTGAGTGTGTTCACTGAAGGTTAGGCTTTGACAAAACCTGTTTGAAAGTCAACCTCACAGCTGTATCAATGTGAGGAAATCACTTCTGTTTGACACTTAAGTTTTATTCCAGTTTTAGTTGTCAATGCCTGGCATATATATTTGGTTTAAACTATCTGCACCAGCAATGCCCTTATCCAAGAGCCTAGGTGTATAACCTAAGCCTTGCTTCTCATACATTTTACCCCATAAGCTTAATGCCTTTTGTTGATGACC